GTCCTATCAGTATCCCCCCGGAATTCATATGCTAGGTGTGCCCTCTCCTTGCTGAGCTGGCATCACCGAAAAGTAAAGTTCGTTGCCACTATGACCCCATCTACTCTCCTTCGGTCAATCAACAACAAGAGCTCCCTCACTTGCTCCATTCCACTAGCACTAGGTCTCTCTGACCACCTGGCGTTACTCACGGAAATCTGATCAATGTCGCATGACACATAATGTTCCCCATATGGCATGTAGAACCATCGTTGTGCCCAATACTTCACGTTTGTGTTCAATGGGGTAGCGATGTACTTCCCAACCATCCCATCTTGCAGCTGCAATTACGCGCTACCCGCAACCCTAGATCTAGATCCCTCACAAGATTTCAAACATAAAAAGTGGCGGAAGAGATCAAAATGTGGGAGAATGCCAAGATAGGCTTCACAGAAATGGATGAAGATAGAAACCTAAAGGATGGAGTTCGGGCCCAGATTGCAAAGACTAATGGCGTAATACTCAATTAATCCACAGAGGAACAGATGAATCAGAACGCCAAATCCGCGAGAGAAATAATCTTCAAACACGACCAATTCATCGCCACGAGGGGTAGGAAAGCTCTCACCGTGAGCAGAACGTCGTCCTGCCATCACCCTATCCGGTAGCACATCGTCCACCACCAACTGGTTGAGCGGCGCCTCGTTGCTGATGGAGCTTACCCATTCCTCGGTGTGATTGAGCTCGCGCGATGCCCTGATCGAGCTGCTATGGCTTCTCTTGGGCGCCATCTCGCCGATATGAGGAATGGTGGGAGATTACGAGCTTGTGGTTGCTAAGATGGCAGAACAATTGCCGATTGATGTGGTGCGGGTGCAAGGAAGAAGACGAAGAGGCGAGAGCAAGGTGGAGAATGTGCGTCGGGGCTGCGGCACTTTATAACGGTTCGACCCTTGACCCTTTGTCTTCTAGGGATTTTCAGAAACCATGCCTGACCTGCTGCATTCCCTCCCGAAACCACTGCACGTTGATGGGCCGCCAAATGAGCAAGGTGGGCCGCGACGTTAAATCGCGTTGAAAGCGGAACGACGAAACGAATCTCTAGACTCAGCGCTGGGTCAACGGAATTCATTATGCATCTATGCCAAGATATTTTTCCTTGACCCTGCTACAAGATTTCTTCATCATCTTCCAGCAGGCTCGGGGACTAAGTGTGTACACTTCATCTTGCGGTGAATGTACTGGTTCCCTGATTACTCAATCTTTCGGCAATGATGGGGGCTGCATATTTTTCTTTGACCATACTATAAGATTCCTTCATCATCTTCCAGTAGGCTAGGGGACTACATTGTGTACAATGCACCTTGCGGTGCACGTACTTTTTTCTTCTTCACGGTGTTTCAACTTTGTCAAGTCTTTGCCTATGCTCCGCCCTGATGACCACGTCGTTAAGACCATCGCAATTGGCACTTAAGTGTGTACACTTCACCGACCAAGACTTCAAAATTTTTACTTGAGCTCCTTACATCCTTATGGCAAACCATGACTTTGAGTGAGTCCGAGCTTAACGCCTAGTTAAATTGGTCGGACGCCTGTCTCAACTGCTTAGACACCCACTTCGATAGCTCGAACGCTCATTCGAACTGCTCGGACGATTGCTTCAATAGCTCGGCACCTATTTGAACTGGTCGGAAGACTGATCCTCATGAGTTGCTGCAAGTTGGATAGCTCGGATGGACGCAAGATGGTGTTGCTCAGTGGATGCAAGGTGCTTGGGGATTAGCTGTGGGGGTATGACCCCTGGTACCCGCAAGGCTCCACGTGGGCTGAGCCGCTAGGGGAGGCCTAGCCCATAAGACTATGCATGGGTCGCGCCACTAGTCGAGGCCTAGCTCGCAAGACAACGCCACATGAAGTATGCTACAGGACGACGTGCTTCGCAAGGCAACATGAAGATCCTTGGTGATCTATGAAATCTGCTCAAATATGATAGATATTGTACGATCTGTAACTTTCTATCTTGCAAACCGATTAGAATGAAAATAATCGATCTGTAACCCTACCCCCCAAACTATATAAGGCGGGTAGGTACCCCCTCGTTTTCATCTGAACACATGCAATACAATCCACAAAGACACATGACGTTGGGTATTACGTCAAGCCGATAGCCCGAACCTGTCTAATCGTTGTCTCTTGCGTTCTGTGTCACCATCCGGTCTCCTCACGCGCACCTCCACCGATTCATCTACTACCGTGGGCATAACCCTTGATAGACTATCGACCAGATTTCGTCGACAGGGACCCCCTCAAAACATACGCAAACATATATGATAGCCAATACAAACTGACGGGACACAGGATTAGGGTATTACGTCCAGCTGACGGTCTGAACCTGTATAAATCTTGTGTCTTGTCACCATCTCGCTCTTGTTCTCGCTCACCTCCCCGATCAATCTACCATCGTGGGTAGCCCCCTCGGTGGACTGCTGATCATCTTTAGTTGACAGTTACTTGCATAAAATTCGCTTTCTATATCTTTTGACTCTTGAACAGTCTTTCTATATCTCATGTGCACTCTAAAGAGTCGTTCTCATCTTCTATTTTTAGCTAGCGAGAAATTCAGAATAGAAGATGGCTATATTTGGATAACCATTTAGAGAAGCTGTTTAGCCCACCAGCGGAGCAAAATCATGTTCATCTAATGAGCACGCAAGCAGCGCGATAATGGCCCACTTGTGACCCAGCCTGCCATCCCTTCTGGGTTAAGGCGGGAGCGACGGTATCCATCGATCATTGACCGATTGCTAGGATCGATGACGTACCATCTGACATTTGATCGAGGCCCCATTCGCTAGTCTGAAACTTGGCTAAAATTGGCTGAAAAATACTGTTCTGGCTGAAATGTTGTGGGAGAAAAACACTGTTCCGGCTGAAAAAAGAAGCCGAACAAGCCAAGTTTCAGACCAACCGAACAGCCCCTCATGAGATGCATCAACTTCTCTAAAAAATCAGTGCTGAGTTTGTGGTGTTCTAATGGACGTCCGACTCCTTGCGCAGGACCGTAAAAGCTCTAAGTTTAATTTGGGTAATTGAATGACAACTAGTGGATTGATGCTTCCAATTAAGTTGTGATTGAGATAAGGTTCACATCAAGATGCTGAGCAAGACTAGGATGTGGTTGAGTGATCATCAAGCCATATAGAGCAGGCTAATACTTGGAGAAAGAAGAAAGAGATGAAAACAAGCCCAAAGGCAAGATATAAGCTAGGGGTTTCAATTTTGCTGGCCGATACTCAATATAGTGCGTGGCCGGATTTAGGGTAGATAGTCTTAGGGAACTATAGATTAAGAAAATATGCTTAATTATCTTATGATTGCTCACTGATTGCACCCTAGTTCAATTATTAGAATCTCAATTGGCATCAAACCAAACTAAAACATGTCAACATCGTTCTGTTTAAGAATAACACATAGAATTTAATTTGGCATGCCTTAGCGACGGCAATCTGACTTAGGTTAATTACTGACACTAATTATGATGCTTAACAATGATAAAGATAGGTACTCATCTATCTTGGATTGATCTGATTCAGTGCTTAAAAATTCTTCCATTCCAAATTGTAAGTCGCACTGGCTTTTGTAGGTTCATAGCTTTTATCATGCATCTAGACATAACGTATACATCGGTGCATAGCAAAAACTACATATCAAAAAATGCTAGAATAACTTACAATTTAAAATGGAGGGAGTAGTAGATTAGATTGAACAGATCACATAAGAAACTAATATGTCTTAGGGTTATTTAAAATAGAAACATGCTAACTTGGACTAATTGTTTTTTAAATCAATTTCTAGTATTGAGTCAGGTCTCTAATCATCCCCTATAAATTGATTTCTAGGTGTTGTTGGTAAACGGTAATGCTCTATACCGAGCGTCCGTCGGCCGGACACGTGCCTTTCGCTGGGCCTACGGACCAGGTCTGACCAGCCCATTATTAAAAAATCTAGACGCTTCGACCGAGACGAACTGTCTCGTGCCGCGCACCCCCGCGCCTCGCGTTGGACACGCTTCCCATCGCACGCCCCTGCGCCTCACGCCTCACGTCGGGCTGGCTTCGTGCCTCGCACCCCGCCCGTGCCTCACGCCGCGCGCCGTCCGTGCCTCATGCCGCACGCGCCTCACGCTGCGCTCCCCCGCGCCCGCGTCAACCTTCATTGGGCCGCCAAGTAGATGAGGACATGTTGCAACCGTATATTTTATGTGTTTCAGATGTATGTTGCATATGTTTTATCTGGATGTTGTAAAAGTAGATTTGGTGTTGCATATATTTCAATGGCTATACACGTGTGTTGCAAGTGTATGTTTCAGCTGTTTCAAACATATATTGCAAGTGTTTCTTCTAAATGTTGCATACATTGCAGCGGTTATACACGTATGTTGCAAGTGTGCTTTCCAAATGTTTCAGCTATTTCATCTGGATGTTGCGTGTTTTCATCTGGATGTTGCATTGGCTATACACGTATGTTGCAAGTGTATGCTCTAAATGTTTCACCTATTTCAGACGTATGTTACAAGTATTTTATCTGGATGTTGCATATGTTGCAGTGGTTATAACATATGTTGCTAACGTATGTTTCAATTGTTTTACTTGGTTTCACTATATTGCAGCATGTACTTCTCCCACACGCTATGACTCGTGGGCACGCACGCGCTGCATGCACCCGTCCAGCACTGTCTATCTCTGTCATGTGGGCCAGCTCTAATAGTCAGACGTGCATGCATTGGGTGATCAGTGCCCAAATAGCCGAGCATTCCCTGGTCAAAGTGTATGCGCGCATGCAGAATGCCAGAGCGGGCCAGCACCGAACGTACGCAGAAGCAGACGCCCACGCACCTTTAGCCGGGGTCAACACGGCCACGTGTGCGGTGGAGGAGGCAGCAAAAGACAAATAGACAAACTACAGAGGCACCACGTGCACATGAGAAAGTAATTAAGCACAACACACGTCACTTCTCATTATCACTCCTGTTTCTTAGGTGCTCTGGTGCCGACCGGCATGAACTCCGCGACCTTCTTCGCTGCTGGGCGCGTGGCAAGGCCCTCCCACCAGGCGCTGACGTGCGGCAATGCCTCGACCAGCGTGGCGTACTCGGTGGCCATAAGGTAGTGCATCATGGTGAAGTGGCTGAGCTCGGCAAGGCTAAGGAAGTCGCCGGCGAGGTACTTGCTTTGGCTCAGCCGCGCCTCGTACACCACGAGCACCTTCTTGAGCTTCTCCACATTCTCGTCGACGATCGCCTGGTTGCGCTCGCGACCGTAGAACGGCGCGACGATGCACTCCAGCACCAACGGGCCTCCACTTCAAGCCATATGTCTACCATGGTCGCCTGCTCCGGGCTGCCGGTGCCCAAGAGCTCTGGCTTGTGCTTGCGCAGAACGTGCCTCGCGATCGCACGGGATTCTGAAAAATAATACATACCACACGTTTTAGAACTCGTAGAATCAAAGCAAAATACTACCTCCGCTTCGTTCTAAACTGTATTTCACTTTAAATTTAACATCTACTCTTATATGTTCAAAAATAAGTGTATTATTAAAATATTGTTGAAAATATTAATAAACTAATGTGACCATGTGGGTGTTGGCATATTTTTTATAAACTTACTTAAAGTTAAAAAAGTTGACTTAGGATAAAACTGTGAATTACTCCATCCGTATAAAAAAATGTAAATCTCACATCGTAAAGATTTAAATAATCTTAAAAAAAGTTAAATAATCTTAAATTTAACTAAATATATAAAAAACAATATTTATTATGTAAATATTAAAATATATTTCCAAATAAATCTATTTAAAAAGATTTCTTTTTTTTTTGACCGAGGGAGTATAATCTGGAAAGAATAAGGAGCAGATATGACACGCCCGATGGTTGATGATGAACTTACCGAAGAGCGTGAGGTCGCCGTCCTCGAGCACCGGCACCTTCCTGAAAGGCTGCAGCAATTAAGCACAGGAGCGGCGTGTCAGTCGGGGCCGATGAGCGGAGTGAAAGTGAAACCAACAAGCAAATTCATGGTGGGTCGAGGGAGGGAGGCACGTACATTCCTGGCGAGGTGCTCCGGGCGGTGGTGGTCGCCGGCCTGGCGGCTCATGGGGACGAGCTGGTAGTCGACGCCGGCCTCCTCGAGCGCCAGCAGAGCCCTCGACACGAACGGCGAGATAGCCCACCCGTACACCTTCACCGCCGGCGTAGCCATGGCTTTTCCTAGCTCAGCGAGTGCTTCCTTGTGTAATCTACGCGCAAGATCGATCCGACGATGCAGGATATATCAAAGATCAGCAGCTAGAAATGGATGGATGTGTGCAGCTTCTGCTGCCTGCTGCAGGCTGCTACTTATACAGCAGCGGGAGAGGAGAGGAGAGATCAGAGAGGACGCTGGCTCTGGCGCCGCTGCTTGGGGGAGAGGAAGAAGAAGGTTTGGAAGAAGTGAATTCGTATTTGCTCGACGGGAAGGGTGAACGCGTGACGTCGTCGCTTACGTACGCAGAGTCGCAGACTAGTCAGGTGCGAGCCCGTCACTGGCAGTGGAAGGCAAACGGCTCCGTCGCCGAAAGGAAAATGATTTCTCACACTTTCCTGGAAATTCCTATATCTTCATTCGTATCAGCTCCTATCACAGTAAGTTAGAAACATCCAAAAAGTAGAAAACTACCAGGATCTGCAACTGATTTATCTTAGCCTATGCTGAAACGATAGTGTCAAGGCCAGACTAACAGCAACTTATGAAGCCTAGTTCACATTGCTAAACGTGATTAAACCAATCTAATAACACAACAAAAGAACAACTTTTCGTGGGAAAAAAACAGAAAAAAAAAACAAAAGAACAACTTCCTCAAGTCATTTTTTAGGAACAAAACAACTTGTGCCGGTTGATTTTTTTTTCAATCGAGTAATTACTATCCGGATGAGTAATTCCTAGAGCCCGATCCTTTTGAGGAGCGTACTTCGTAGAGTATGATCCGGATTTTGTTCTAGCGTTGATTTTCTTTTCAGAGTCCGATCGTTTACCCGGTCCGATCAGTTTTTTAACGGAGAATTTTTTTTTATCGGAGTTTGGTTCTGCGGTGGACGATTCCTGTGGATGCTTTTAGGTGTAGAGAGAAGAGATAATTTCTAATAATGAGTCAGGTCTCTTTATAAATTGATTTCCAGGTGTAGTTGGCAGGTGACTTATTTTTTATATAAATAAAGACAGATGATTTCTAGAGTTGGTTGGTTAGAGGCTATCGCGTCGAAATCCACATCTAGACAAAAAAAAAATGACCGTGTGTAGTAGCGGCCGTCTGTCTAATTCGATGACGACATCTGTAACACAGCGATATGAAATTCCAATGAAATATTTTTGCTAAATGTGATGAAATACATTAAATTTCCAAATAACTATTATTCTGTGGAGGAAGCAGCAAAAGACAAATACACAAACTATAGCGGGACCACGTACACATGGGAAAGTAATTAAGCACAACACACATCACTTTTCATCATCACTCCTGTTTCTTGGGTGACCCGGGCGCGTCGACCGGCATGAACTCCGCGACCTTCTTCGCCGCTGGGCGCGCGGCAAGGCCCTCCCACCAGGCGTTGACGTGCGGCAATGCCTCGACCAGCGTGGCATACTCGGTAGCCATGAAGTAGTGCATGATGGTGAAGTGGCTGAGGTCGGCGAGGCTAAGGAAATCGCCGGCGAGGTACTTGCTCTGGCTTAGCCGCGCCTCGTATACCTCCAACACCTTCTTCAGCTTCTCCACGTTCTCGTCGACGACAGCTTGGTTGCGTTCGCGGCCAAGGTACGACGCGAAGATGCAGTACACCACGATGGCGATCGCTGCCGGGTGCAGCTGGTGGGCCTCCACCTCCAGCCACACGTCCACCATCGCCGCCTGCTCCAGGCTGCCGGTGCCCAAGAGCTCCGGCTTGTGCTTGCGCAGAACGTGCCTCGCGATCGCACGGGATTCTGAAAAATAGTACATATCACACGTTTTAGAACTCGTAGAATCAAAGCAAAATATTAACCCTTCGATTTTAAAATGTAGTTCACTTTTAATTTAACATCTGCTCATATAGGTTCAAAAATAAGTGTATTATTAAAATACTGATGAAAAATTAATAAAATTATTGTGACCATGCAGGTGTTGGTATATTTTTTAATAAACTTAAAGTTGAAAATTTTGACTTAGGATAAAACTGTGAATTACACCATCCGTCTAAAAAAAATGTAAATCACACATCTTAAAGATTTAAATAATCTTGAAAAAAGAGTTAAATAATCTGAAATTTCACTAAATATATAAATAATTAATATTTATTATATAAATATTACTAGATTAATCATGAAATATATTTTTATAATAAATCTATTTTAAGAGATTTTTTTTGACCGAGGGAGTACAATTTGGAAAGAATAAGGAGTAGATATAACGCGCCCGATGGATGATGAAGAACTTACCGAAGATGGTGAGGTCGCCGTCCTCAAGCACCGGCACCTTCCCGAAAGGCTGCAGCAATTAAGCACAGGAGCGGCGTGTCAGTCGGCGAAGCGAGCGATGGCCGATGAGCGGAGTGGAAGTGAAACCAACAAACTCATGGTGGGTCGATCGAGGGAGCGAGGTACGTACGTTCCTGGCGAGGTGCTCCGGGAGGCGGTGGTCGCCGGCTTGGCGGCTCATGGGGACGAGCTCGTAGTGGACGCCGGCCTCCTCGAGGGCCAGCAGAGCCCGCGACACGAACGGCGAGAAAGCCCACCCGTACACCTTCACCGCCGGCGTAGCCATGGCTTCCTAGCTCAGCGAGTGCTTCCTTAGTTCCTTGCGTAATCTACGCGCAAGATCCGAAGATGCAGGACATATCAAAGATCAGCAGCTAGAAATGGATGGATGGATGTATGTATGCAGCTTCTGCTGCCTGCTGCAGGCTGCTACTTGATACTTATACAGGAGCGGGAGACTTGATGAGAGATCAGAGATGACGCTGGCTCTGGCGCTGCTGCTTGGGGGAGAGGAAGAAGAAGGTTTGGAAGAAGTGAAGTCGTATTTGCTCGACGGGAAGGGTGAACGCGTGACGTCATCGCTTACGTACGCAGAGCCGCAGACTAGTCAAGTGCGAGCCCGTCTGGCAGTGGAAGGCAAAGTTAACGGCTCCGTCGCCGAAATCAAATTAATAATTTCTGACATCAGTCAGCAGAGACACTTTCCTGGAAATTCCTGTCTTCATTCATATCAGCTCCTATCACAGTAAAGTTAGGAACATCCAAAAACTAGAAAACTACCAGGATCTGCAACTGATTTATCTTAGCCTATGCTGAAACGATAGTGTCAAGGCCAGACTGACAGCAACTTATGAAGCCTAGTGCACGATGGTAAACGTGATTAAACTAATCTAATACAACAAAAGAACAACTTTTCGGGAAAAAACAGAAGAAAAAAAACAAAAGAACAACTTCCTCAAGTCTTTTTAGGAACAAAACAACTTCTGTCGGTTGAATTTTTTTTTCAATCGAGTGATTACGATCTGGATGAGTAATTCCTAGAGTCCGATCCTATTAGGAGTTTACTTCCCAGAGTATGATCCGGATTTTGTTCTGGCGTAGATTTTCTTTCCAGAGTCCGCCGATTGTTTTACCCGATCTGGATTTTGTTCTGACATATATTTTCTTTCTAGAGTCCAATCGTTTTACCCGGTCCAATCCTTTTTTTTAACAGAGATTTTTTTTTACCGGAGTTTGGTTCTACAGTGGACGATTCCCGTGGAAGCTTTTCAGTGTAGAGAGAAGAGATAATTTCTAGTAATGAGTCAGGACTCTTTATAAATTGATTTCCAGGTGTAGTTGGCAGGTGACTTATTTTTTAGATAAATAAAGACAAATGATTTCTAGAGTTGGTTGGTTAGAGGCTCTCGCGAAAACCACATCTAGACAAAAAAAAAAATGGCCGTGTGTAGTAGCGGCCATCTGTCTAATTCGATGACGACATCTGTTACACAGCGATATGAAAATCCAATGAAATATTTTTGCTAAATGTGATGAAATACAATAAATTTCAAATAACTATTACTCATTGGAGGAACCAGCAAAAGACAAATACACAAACTATAGAGGTACCACGTACACATGAGAAAGTAATTAAACACAACACACATCACTTTTCATCATCACTCCTGTTTCTTGGACGCCTCAGCCGCGCCGACCGACATGAACTCCGAGACCTTCTTCGCCGCTGGGAGCGCGGCAAGGCCCTGCCACCAGGCGCTGACGTGCGGTAATGCCTCGACCAGCGTGGCATACTCGGTGTCCATGAAGTAGTGCATGATGGTGAAGTGGCTAAGGTCCGCAAGGCTAAGGAAGTCGCCGGCGAGGTACCTACTCTGGCTCAGCCGCGCCTCGTACACCTCTAGCACCTTTTTCAGCTTCTCCACGTTCTCATCGACAGCCGCCTGATTGCGCTCGCGGCCGAGGAACGACGCGAAGATGCACTCCACCACGATGGCGATCGCCGCCGGGCTCAGTTGGTGGGCCTCCACCTCCAGCCACACGTCCACCATCGCCGCCTGCTCTAGGCTGCCGGAGCCCAGCAGCTCTGGCTTGTGCTTCCGCAGGACATGCCTCGCGATCGCCCGGGATTCTTTGAAAATATCATGTCACACGCTTATGGAACCCAACAAAATGCTACACCCTCCTTGTAAATTTTGATTCACTTTGACTTAATATCTTCTCCTATATTTTCAAAAAATAAATACACTATTAAAATATACTCCCTCCGTTCCAAATTATAAGTTATTTTTGATCTTTTCGGTATATTCATTTTGCTATGCATCCAGATATAATGTATATCTAAATACATAATAAATTCTATGTACCCAAAAAGTCAAAGCGACTTATAATTGAAACACAGGGAGTATTAATGAAAGTTTTAATAAAACTAATGTGACCACGTAGGTGTTTGACGTATCTTTTATAAACTTAGTTATGAAGGTGAAAGGTTTTGACTTAGGAAAATTAGGACAAAACCGTGAATTATAATTTGAAAGGAAGGAGCAGATATGACATGGCTAATTGCTGATGAACTTACCGAAGAGCGTGAGGTCGCCGTCCTCGAGCACCGGCACCTTCCCGAAAGGCTGCAGCAAGCACAGGATGGAGCGTGTGTGTGTGTCAGTCGGCGAAACCAGCGATGGCCGATGAGTGGAGTGAATGCGAAACCA